TTCTGTTATGTAATTTGAATTGTAATTATACTCTCTCACTTCATGTTAGTTATTGTTTATTCTACTCATTAAACTTAGAATCTCATTTAACATACAAACTGTTGTATCTAGAGATTAGATTCTTAATATAACGTGTATAACTTGAGCACTCGAACGCTAGAACCACCCAAGTCGCAAATAAAAAGACAGAAGAAGAATAGAGAAAGAGCTTGTTGGGCAAGAATCAAAATATACAAAAAATCATTGATATTTATAGATATTAGCGTTTGTTAAATCAAAATTATAATTCAATTATATTATGCTACTGACCAATAGTAGCATTCTACGTTGATATTCTAGAAAACTCCATTGCGTTCTTAATAGATTGAACTCTTCAGCCGTTCTAGGGCCTCTGGTAGCGTCTGTGATTTTTAACATAGTCTAAATAGACATAGTCATTAATAATAAAATATGTACCTAAGTAACATCATAACGTTTGGTTGCTACAAGATTTTAATTGATTGTTCATACGCTCCGATCACTTAAGTCTTGAAAATCGTCAGATAAATTCTAAGGAGTACTTTTTTATTATAGTATCCATCATTAGCAAAGGATCAATAATTTCTAATTTGATTGCTAGTATACTAACTGACATGTAACACATAGTCATACCAATTTTTTTAAGTAGTTTCCATATTAAATGATCTTACACTATTAACTCTGTTAATCGCAGATAAAGAAATTTAGACTTTAGTTACATAGGTTTAAGTTTATCCAGTTAAAGTTTGCAGGTTATTTCAGTAACCGTATTATACACTGTCTCAGGACAGAATTCGATAGAGAATCTTGATGAGAGGCCCATACTGCTCCACGAGGGATAACAGATGTAATTAAGTAACTATTATACACTGTAGTAATTTTATCCATCAGTTGACTTATATATAACCCAGTTAACCACATTACCTTTTTACAAACAAACATTACTAATCTAGTTTGGTTTCTTTGTCGACATTTAAAGTAACAATATACTATTGTTTTAAACATTTTTTTTCTGTAGATAGCACTTGTGATATGCGTTGTTCTGGTATTGAGAGAAATATGGATATACCTTTAATAATATACAATTGTCATTGAATCTTCATAGAAAACACAGCATCGGCGGTCATTCATAACGTTGAAGATGTTTTTGGTTATATATATCATTAGAGATGGTCTGTGTTGAAATAACATTCCAATATTCTCTTTAATATTCATTTTTTAAATGATAAATTGAGCGAACCCTTTTATTAACTTGACTTCTATGTTGCTTTATAAATTTATATTTCATTAATGATAAATTTAAAAAAAGGAACGAAATATTGTAGAAATGGGTAGGCTAGTAACTAATTCACTTTTTGCTTCAAAGGTGTCTTAAGAAAAAATCAATATCCAAAGGTATATTGCATAGTGATAAATTATTAAGTTAATTATTAATGATAACTTTACAAATCACAACTATATGTAATGTATATCTTGTTGTGACTTTATGAGCCGATTGTTATCAAGTAATCTATTCGCCAATCAAAATACGACTTATTCGCCCTTATACTGTATTAAACCATAGACGTTCGACCGGTCTGGTCAGCCTAGCGTTCTATTAATCCCTTGCTCGCCCAGTCCGTCCAGCTGAGTCCAGAACACTAAAACGGCTTCTATTATGCAAATCATTTATTTCAGACATACTCGGTTTATATATCAACCAAACAAACTGAATCACACTATAAAATAGGAAATAACATTTATACAAGTTCAACCCCAAATGTGGCTGTGAACGTGAGAGACAGTAATCAATAAACTGATTATAACTTAAGAACAGTAAGTCGTACAATAATAACCTGCAAGTCAAAATGAAGCTTGTAATAACGTAATCTAATTACTGAATAGTTATATCATCAGAATATATATAAGTCAATTAACAGGTCTCAGAAGTTACTCGTAATTTTATCTTCGCTTGGATATAAAAACCAGTCTCGATCTGACACAGACAAACTCCATTGATCACGGCTTCTCGCTAGAATTTCGAGAATTCCCTCACGAAGCTAGTCACTAGTGAGAACATAGTAATTATTTGATTGAGATCATGAATCAATCTATGTTAGACCACTGTTGAAAACCTGAAAGTACTGATGAAGAGTTACATTCTAGGACAAAATGGCTGTTCAGTGCTTCCAGGTTTTCCGAACGTCATTTTGATTACGTTTTGCAAAAAGAAATTCAAATTTTGTAAATAAAATTAAAAAATTAGGTCCTTTTCCAAGTGAATTCTAGGGATCTAACGTCCCCAACACTTTGAAATAAAATATGGATTAAAATGATTAATAATGGTGAGTTTTCATTCATCTGATATGACAACTAATGAATACTATGATCAAAATACATTAAGTTTCAAAATATAAATTGTATTGCTGTATAAGGTCATTCTGAAAGGAATAATAAAATTTGTGTATATGTTAGAAGTCATCTTGAATTTCATGATAATTATCAGTTCCTTTAAGATCACAGATATACATCATAGAAAGGTTATATCTAGAGCAAAACTGACTTCCTGTATTTGCTGATGACTTTTATCCGATAAATGTAGATATAGATATTAGGATGTTTAGCAATATTTATTAACTATAAGTATTCCAAATGTACGTGATCAGTATGGATGATTGAAGTATTCATCATCAATTTATTTACGATCGTTCATACAAAATAAGATCCTGGTATGCATTAAATCAGTTTTTACACTCTGAGGAAATTGTTTAATTAACATATTGGTGTTCCAAAGATGAACTAATCTAAATTAAACAATCATTAAAACCTGTAAGCTTTGGACGACTGTTTCATTCTAGCTTGGGATTGCTCATAGAGAATAGATGTAATAGTGGTATTATCGACTTTGATGGAGTCTTTCGGTGTATAATATAGAGTTTTAAGATTGATTAATGAGCTGCTTTTATTAAGTAACCCTAGGCTATTTTAAAACCCAAATGAATAACCGTATGAATTGAGTGAAATTCCAATTATTTTTCAACAGTCGACGAGAATGTACTCATTGTTTTGATTAGCTTCATTATAGTATTCATCAAATACGCCTAGTAATTATGAAAGCTTTGAGTACTTCACAAGCTGTGTATGACACATAACTAATAGGTATTTAAGACTGCCTAACAACCAGGATTGTTATTCTTAGTTTACCAATATAAACGATAATAATTAATATTGACCAACTGCTAGAATGTTACAAAGGAATGGATAGTGAGCAGATTCTTGACAAAGGGAGAACAAAAATAAGGTACATTTCGGTTCCTCAACATAAATGATAAGTTGGAAAATAATTTCATGTTTCATATCGGTTACTTGTTGTAATGATAAATGTTATTTTACAATTAAAGTGTTCGAAAATTCACTTGGTATTGTTTACTTGGATCTTCCCATTGTTATTTAGAACTGCAATTGATGATCAGTCTAGTGTTGGCATATATGCATACTGTGCCGATTGCCTCGATATGGCCTTAATTCACAAGCTTTTTAAGCAAAGACAGATAGTGGCTACCAGTGGAATCCAGTTTGACGCGCGTCTCTTCGTATTTGGGACTCGTCAGATGGATGTCCCTGCGTCCCAGATTCGATTTTCACTCTGGGACTCGAACTCAGTACCGTTTGCTTCGAACGCCGTCACGTTATCTTAAACATCCTAAACATCAATAGGAAGATTCCAGTAAACAATACTAAGTGAATTTAAAATACCCCATTGCACAAACAAGTGGCTATCTGAACTCAGTATCTAGGTGAATAACGCGATGGCGTTCGAAGCGAATAGTACTGGTTTTCGAGTCTCAGAATGAACATCAACTCTGGGATGCATGTACATCCAGCTGTCAAGTCCCAAATAGGACGAAATATCCGTCCCAGGTTCTACTGCTATCCACTATCCATCTTTGCTTATAATGTTCGAAAATGTTACAGTAATCTTTTTAAACATGTTCATTTCATAATTCTCTTTGAAAACAATGAGTTATCGTATATATGGCCTATAAACACAGATGAATTTGATAGCAGAAATCAATTGCCATAGTTTTCTATACAAGGAATTCATTAGTCACTATCATCTTGATACATTCATCTAAGTATCAATTTACATGATAGAATGGTTTTGATTAGTATAGATTGGTAAACAATGAAATCATCATATTTATTCAATAACCTAATTGTATGTTTATCATGAATTCATGTTAAATACTCATCATTTTGTTACTATAACAAATAAATACAATGTGTAACATCTCATATTAAAAACAAGCCAATTAATATTATTAACATCCTGAAACAATGATAGAATTAAAATGTCGATCAAAAATAATATTACCTATTCATTACACATGTGATTATTGTCAACATTTTGTTTTATTTATAAACTAAAACAAACAAGAAATAAAAAAAACCATTTTATGGATTTATAATTATCAATATTATTGATTGTTCTCTCATATTTGAAACTTTTGTAAGTTATTTTTTTTTTAAAGCAGAGATAAATAATGGTTAGCAGTGAAATCCAGTTTGACCAGGTGTTTCATCCTATTTCGGACTCATCAACTGGAACTACCTACATCCCAGAGTTGATATTCACTCAGGGATTTAAGACTATAATCAAAGCAATCTGAAAAGGATGCACATATACCAACATGATACTGATTATTAATTGCAATTCTAAATAATAATCGAAAGATACAAGTAAAAGAAAAAAAAATACGAACAAGAACAAACTTTAAATATTCTATACCCTATTTACTTTAAAATGTGTAATGTTTAAAACAAAGCAAACAAAACAAATGAACTCAAATAATTTATTATGAAAAAAAAACAAACAAACAAACAGTTTTCATTAGTTTTTATCATTTTACTATAGATTGTTCTAATTTAGATTGAATTTGATATTTCTTGTTAGAATGTAATCATTGATAGATCAAAAGTATTAAATGATATATATTAATCTATTATAAGTTAATAGGATTAAAATCTTTAATTGCTTTCACTCCAATACATAACATGATTACCTATGTAAAATGAATGTAATTTAAAAAAAAAATACATTAGTAAACTTCTTTAATATTTCCATTTCATTGAAAACTGATTGTATAGTTATCTGTGTAAATAAATGAAATTAATTATTAGAAGGGGTTTTATGAAGAATTGGTAATTTCAATAGTTGAAATGATGAGTTAATTGAAGTTAGACCACCATGGAAAACCTGAAAGCACTGGATGGCCGTTTCGTTCTGTTGTGGGACTCCCCAGCAGTGCGCATTCACGATCCCACCCTACGAATCCCATAGTAGGACGAAACGGCCGTCCAGTACTTCTAGGTTTTCCATAGTGGTCTAGCTTCAATTGACTCATGATTTCAACTATTGAAATGAAATAAGTGTCTAATTGGTTAGTTATGGAGATTATTGTACTGAGGTACATTTTGATCTTTTCTTAAAGACAGTGTAATTTGTAGATGTTAATCTTATAAGACGTAACACAGGCTTTATTGACAATTCTGATTTATAGTCGTATTGTGTTATGAACTGATTGAGTGTGAAATTTTAGATGAATGAATTCATACATTTTAGCAAACAATAATACACTTTCCATGATCCTGTATGTCTTGAGTGCGCTTCTTGATAATATCGTGGGTATATGGTACAGTAAAGTTCGAATGAAACAGCTGTTCAATTCTAATCAGTATAGGGTTGTGAAGATTATTTACTTTTAATTGGGATTATGAATAGATTAATATTAGACCACCATTGAAAACATCGGAGTAATAAACGGTTATTTCGGCCTAGTATTGGACTCTTCAGCAGTGTGCATCTATGATTATTCGCACGAGACTCGAATGAACGCTTAGGTTCTAGACTACTGATCAGACATCGAACTGTGTTTATGTCTAACTTCAACCAATCTACGATACTGTATGACTATCTTCCATTGTCTTCGGTGGTTAATTACCTCGCACTGTCCAATCATTATTGGTTAATAGCATTTTAATAAGCTGAAATAATTTTACTATAAAATCATTCATAATATATCAATTAATAATTCTAATATTGACTTGCAAAAACACGAATCATCAAAATAAGTTACTAAAATATGTCCCTGCTATAACTGAAAAACTGGCTTAATAGGCACCGTTGTAACTGGGTAGCCAACTTTTATGTATGGGAAGTCATCGTTGTCATGTGCGTATCGACTCTGTTCTGTCCGCAGTACCAATGCCCCTATTTAACAATCACAAAATGCTTTATCCTGCTTTTTATACTGTGAAACGCGAACCATTACAATTCTCACGATGGAAAGCGAGAACGCAAAAGAGCGATACAACGAAGATTTATTGACTTCAAAACACGATAACAAATGAGTCCCAAATCACTTATTGTATACTGAACGACGACCTTGGCATTAATATGTCTTATCTTTTCCTTCCGTATAGGACTGATCATTCTAAGAAAGTTCAAAAACTGACGTCAGATCGTCTATATGTGGAGTTTTTTTCTCCCACCGAGTAGTGAATTACTGAAATTCTCTACTGGAACACGTAATATCAGCACCTAGTGTTGATATATTCAAAACGAGATTGGACCTCCACAGTGTTACAAACTGCAAGGATTAATATAGGTTGATAGATTTCCTATTCTTATAATTGAAAACTTACTGAAGACTGAAATGACAAATAAATTTCAAAGCACATCCAAAATCGGATCATCCTTAGACCACTATACAATCATTTATTTGCTAAATCTTAAACACACTTATTAGTATCATATAAAGGGAATGTATAAAGTTGCTGTAAAAGCACACATAATAAATATAGTTGACCTGAGTTAATACACTGAATAAAGTTGTCATACTGAACGTGAGTTTACACTCTTAATATAGAACAAGGTTCATAATAAATTAACACAATAAAACATTGATCTATATAATGTTATCCTCATAATGCATAAATTACTTATGAATGAATGAATATAACAATGATAACTGACATTAATTAATAAAACTGAAATACTTCCAAGTACTATTGTATTCAAATATAATGATAATTCTTCTGCAAATGGTTTATCACAACCAATTCCAATGTTACTATTGTATGTTGTATATTCAAATGGACATGTAGTGTTGATTATTTCTAACTGATCATTCATTTTACAACATGGTATAGGTTCAGACAGACCTTAGAAACAAAATAGAAAGAAAATACTGGGTAATAACATATCTTGTATTATTATCAGAAAGGGTTATGTGGAGATTTTAGAAATTTCAATAGTTGAAATCATGAGTCCATTGAAGCTAGACCACCATGGAAAACCTGTAAAAACAGGACGGTCGTTTCATCCTATCATGGGACTCCTCAGCAGTGCGCATCCACGATCCCACCCCCCACGAGGTTCGAACACAGGACCTATCAGTCTCGCGCACGAGCTCTTAACCTTTAGACCACTGAGCCTGCATTCAACGGTGTTAATGTCTAACTTCAACCAATCCAGGTTTTCTATGGTGGTCTAGTTTCAATTGACTCATGATTTCAATTATTGAAATATCTTGTATTAGTTTAATGAACAATTATAAGAGTATTATTATTATCTAAAATATAAATACTGTCTGATCTGTTATAATAACAACTTTCAATGATGTTATCACTTGAATCTTCATCCTCATGAATAGTAACTAGCTATTGTATATTACAAAACATCTTTATTCGTTTTAATTGACGTATATAATTCAAGAGTCAAATCTAGTTGGAAACAATATTAAAATTGTATAGGCCAAAATATTTCTAGACATTTCGCAATTGAATCATTCAAAAATCGATAAAGCACATTAAAATACAGCCAATTATTAACTGATTGTCAGTCAGCAACAACGCAGAACTTCGTATGTACGTACATCAGTTCAAGTTACCATATCATATTAGTACAGAGATACAATGATCGATTAAAATCTCATAGTGGTAGATGTAGTAAAAGCATAGACAGTAATAAGACATATTATAGTTTGACGATGTTATTCAAGGAGTATAAACCAGTAAGATGAATTTGTAAAGATAAGACAAGGTATATGAAAAATTCAACAGATTAGAATTTGAGAGAACACAATGAGTGACTGATAAGTTATGTGCAAAGTTGAATAAAAAGATTTATCAAATAAATGTGTAGAAAATCATTGGACAATCGTTAGAATTTACATTCACTTGGTGTTGTTTTACTTGTATCTTCCCATTGTTATTTAGGACTGCAATTGATCAGTCTCTTATTGGCATATGTGCATCCTGTGCCGATTGCCTCTATATTGTCTTAAGTCACAAACTTTTTAAGCAAAGATGGATAGTGGCTAGCAGTGGAATTCAGTTTGACTCGCGTTTCGCCCTATTTCGGACTCGACAGCTAGATGCACACGCATCCCAGAATTGATGTTTACTTTGGGACTCGAAATCCAGTACCATTCGCTTCAAACTCCATCGCGCTATCCACTTACCTACTGAGTCCAGATAGCTACCTGTTTGTGCAATGTGGTGAAGTTTAAATTCACTTCGTGTTCTCTTACGTGTACCTTCCCATTGTTATTTAGGGCTGCAAATGATCAGTCCCATGATCATCGAGTCCCGGAGTGAACATCAACTCTGTGATGCAGGCACATCTATCTGACGAGTCTGTTTGCTGTAACATACTATTTTTATTTGTCAATATAAGTACCATACACCACAATAGGATTACATATCACAATGACTCAACAACACGAGGATTATGAATGATTTAAAATGATTGGAAATCATAGATTAGTGATTATGCCTTTGACTGTAATGCTCAGTAAAACATTTTTAAGCATAATTAGACTCATAATTTCTCTCAAGATCATATATACATCTTGTTAGCTACCGTCATATATATTCTAAGTGCAAAACTGCCTACTAGTTATTTTTAAACACCTAACATCAGACAGAGTGAACTAAGATATCTATTTACCTAATCTGGTAGCTACATGGAAAGTTTATCGATGAACTTAAAGGGTAGTCAATATTGACATTGAGTAACTACGGAGTGATCATTTGGTTTCAAATATAAAATACATTTCATTTGTTCTCACCTCTATAAATTACGTTATCGTAAGTATCAGTTGGATCAAACTGTGCATATCTCCAACCAAACTGACGATATGTGGCTCCACAACAATTTAACTGAAACAGTAAACAACGTAAAAAAATTATTTGTAATCAAATTTCATTCCAGTGTATATTTTCATTATGAAACAATCTTAAATATTTACAAAAACAAGCTATTTTTCTAGAAAAAGTGAATTGTTCCTAGCAGTGAAATCTAGGATGCAAGTTTCATTCTACTTAAGACTCGTCAGTCGAAAGTACCTATGTTCAGTGTTAATGCTTTAACTCAATATCTCTGTCTAAATGCTTAATGTGTAATCCGCTTAACTACTGAATCCAGATAACCACTAACTTGTTTAACCGGCATACCAACAAATACTGAATAGACTTCAATCACGAATACCAACAATGTGATAATCTAAATTCTTCCTCATAATGATGTAAAGTTAGTTTCGTAATTTATTTATACCTAGCTTATTTGATGAATTTATAATTTATAAATTGACGTATTTTTTTATATCATGAATTTTTTAACTATAGTTTTGAGTTATATTGGTAGATACAAATTGCCTGGTTGTAGTCTGCACCATAACTATGATCTGCGGTGTTGAAAATCTTGGGTAGCATGGTTCAGCATTTTCCACAACAGCTCGAATATATTCACTCTTTTTCACCAGATCTTGAATCTCGGTGTTATCTTTTCAGATAAATCACCAGACAATAGTGTGAATGAATTTTTTCATTTAGCGAGAATTAGTATTCAAATTACTAAATATCTTTATGACTAATGTATCATATTGACACTATAACGCTTTAATGAAAATGTCGGGCAATCGAGGTGGTTACTTCGTTACGGTAAATTACGCCTGCTTCGGTGGGTGACCTGCCTTACCAGTTGACCGGAAGGTCCTCATTCACCATCCCGTCGTTTTACCTGCTTCCGTTTGGGCACCTAGACGATATCCCAGCTCTCACATAAACTGAATGATTTATGTGGCGCATATCTATTTGGTGCATCCTTGTGCCAATGTTTACATGTATTAATAAATAAATAACAGTGAAAATGTCCAAATTTTAGGCATTATCAATATGAATGTTGTTGATATTATCTTGTTCAGCTATGCTTAAACCAACAGTATTTATGTTGCGAGTAAATGAGCTGATAACTTAACGCTTATTAATCAAAGTAGAAATCTTATACCCTCAATCAGAATACGACATAAGGCAGCTGATGAGCCTATACTGATAACCTGAAGAACCCACATGATTATACGTATGAATTATAGGAACACGACGCATTATAAAAAAATCCAAATGTTGATCGCTAAAATAACTTTCATAGTTTGTCGCTGATACTTATTCATCTCATCTTGACAGTCATTAAACTTTATTTCTACTTACCATAACCATTACACTGGCAGTAAATAAGCTTGTTGGAGTTCCACTTCTCAGTGATATATATTCTGTCATTAAACCTCGAATAAAACCTTTCAAATGATCTTCAATCTAAATGTTATTTAAAAAATAATAGATAATTAATATGGGATATAACAATAACTAAATAAAACGGTGTAGCTTTATCAGTAGTCTGATATTACAGAATTGAAAAATTATATTTGTTACACTTATTCGAGTAATGTAAATATGCCATCAACTTTAACACTTTTGTATTCAGGTGGTTAACCGTCCTGAATTATCAAAACGGATTATGTATATGGTTCGATAAAATGACAGCTTTCATTTTTGTTGTAGCTCAGAAAATGTCTGATTATCGTGGACAAACATCAACTTCCTTGGTTATGAGAAGGCGTTTGACAGAGTGGATAGGAGAACATTATGGAAAATTCTTCGATACTATGGAGTACCTGAGAAAATCGTTAACATCGTACAAAATTCGTACGAAGAACTATACTTCAAAGTCGTGCAAAAACAACAACTGCCCGATGCATTTCAAGAGGGGACGGGAGTCAGGCATGGTTTCATACTCTCTGCCTTTCTAATTCATCTAGTGGTCAACTGGATTATGAAGACCTCGACATCTGAGGAAAAACATGGAATAGAGTGGACAGCTCAGAACCAATTAGACGATTTGGACTTTGCAGATAACCTAGCCTTCCTATCGCATACACATCGACAAATGCAAATAAAGACAGTCAGTGTAGCAACAGTCTCTGTATCAGTAAGCCTTAACATACACAATGGAAAAAGCAACATCCTCAAATACAACACGGAGAACAGCAATTCAATCAGTCATGATGGCGAAACTCTGGAAGATGTGGAACCCTTCACATACCTGGAAAGCATCGTTGATGAACAAGGAGGATAAGATGCAGATGTAAAGGCGAGGATTGGCAAAGTAATGGCCGCAACCCTACAATTGAAGAACATATGGAACTCAAAACAACTGTCAACCAATATCAAAGTCACAATCTTCAATACGAATATCAAGACAGTTCTACTGTACGGAGCTAAAACGCCGAGAATTGCCACAACCATTATCAGAAATGTACAAGTATTTGTGAACAATTGTGTACACAAGATACTCAATGTCAGTCAAGTGGATACCATCAGCAATAGCCTACTTTTGGAAAAAACAAACCAGCATCCAACTTGTTAGGGTTGAAAACTGAGCTATCACGGGTTCACGTAGTCTGCGTACGAGAACGAGATTCGGTGATCAAGGTCCAGTAAGCTAGCTATTGCTGCGCCACAGCCCCGCTATCTAGAGGGAGAAGTCCACGCTTGAAATGAGAAGTGTATTCTGCAGAAACCAGAGAAAAGAGCGAGCTTAGTAGAAAATATACTCGTTTATATATTGATTGTACACCCGTTTTGATTAATAATTAGAACAAAATCACATACATGAAAAATACAGTTATAACAAATCATATGCTGAGTATAGTTCATAGTCAATGGAATACAAGAATATTGTATATTATACAAAATAAAATATCATACGAGAAAAGAAAACAAAAACTACATTGCGTAATCATTGCTTTGAATCAAAAAGGATGTAATGAAGAATAAAACTCATATTGAGTAAATCAATCGAATATTGATTTTTCTTCCCATCATATCACAACTGAAGAGAAGATTAAGAAGAGACTATGGAAGTGGATAAAACATAAATTTCGGAAATCATCAAACTGCATCACGAGACAAGCCTTAACTTAGAATCCTGAAGGGAAATGGAAAAGAGGAAGGCCAAAAAACAAACTGCGTCAGGAATCGGAAGCAGACATTAAAATGATGAATAGCAGCTAGAAACAATTGGAAAGGATTATATAGCACAGTGTTCGATAGTGCCTAGCCAATGCTCTTCCACGGGGGTTAACAGGTATTAGTAAGTAAGTCCAGAAAAGCTTATTGGACGAAACGTTAGAATTATTTAAATTTCAACTGGTGAGATTATTTCAAATATAACTTTCACATATATTATACATTGTACGTTACATTTTCTATACACATCAATCTTAACTTACAGTTTGTTTGCTGAAATAGTATCCAACGATTAGCATTAAATGTCCAAGAAGAAGGAATCCAAGCATGATTTGATACTTTAAAATAGGTACAATGAAAAGTAAAATAACTACAAAAACACAAAAATTGTTTCAATTGAATGATATTACTTAAATTATATGGTAGTACATGTGTACACTGAAAACTAGCACGAAAATGTATTTTGATAGTTGATACATTTCAACAATCTATGTTCATCTCGACTTCTACCATTCATTGAAGCTTGATGATTTCATCTGCATTCTGTTTTACAAACGGTTTTCCTGTGTAATTTTGAAAGAAAGTAGTCCCCACTTTTTTACGTTTGGCTCAGTTCAATAATCAGGCCAAAACAAGGTAGAGAACATTGATCAAAAATTTGGTTAAATGAAAAGCGAACAGTTATTTGTTCAAGTGAACCTAACTTATCGCGTCAAGGCCTTAATCTAGATGGAGGAAATTCTGTCCTGTATATTAGTAGGATGGATTGATCAAGAAAGCAACAGGATAATTTAAATTAAAAACATTATTAAGATGTGTTGACAATCAAATTATTCCAGTAGTTGAGATCATTAGTCGATTGAAGCTAGACCGACATTGAAACTCTGGAAGTACTGAAGGGCCGTTTAATCCTATTATGGAATTCCTTAGTAGTGCGCATCCACAGTAGGATGAAACGGCCGTCCAGTGCTTCCAGATTTTCCATGGTGATCTAGCTTCAATTGACTCATGATCTCAGCCAGTGAAATTACCGAAATCTCCACACAAAACTTTAAGAAACATTATTTGTATAGGGTTTGTGTTGTTGAGTTTTGTTGAAGTCATGAACTGATCAATGTTAGACTATCATTTATAACGTGAAAGCACTGTCCTAATATGGGATTCCACAGTAGTGCTCACTTATGATCCTCAAGGATGCATTCGAACCTAGGACCTTCAGACTATAAATTATTCTTATCTATCGGTGTTATCTAAATAATGTTCTTTCTGAAAATCATACATTTTGATTCAAAACAACTATAAATGTATAGTTACAAGATAAATGCTTATTTGGCAAATTGTAATATTTTCCACAAATAGTAGTTCTATATTATGAGATAGAGTTTGATATTTTAAGTCACAAATTGAAGATATTCAAGTGACATGAATTGATGTGAAAACAAAAGATTGGTTTAAACTAATCGACTACTTTTATGATACTATTTATTTAAGTTACTCAAAAAAATTACAATCATTTACTGAGTCCTGATAGCCAACTTCTTGTGCAATGGGATGAAGTATAAATTCACTTGATGTTGTTTGCTTGTATTGTCACATTGTTATTCATGACTACAATTGATCAGTCTCTTGTTAGCATATATATGTATCCTGTATGTATTGTCTCTATATTGTTTTAAGTCACAAGCTTTATAAGCAATGATGGATGATGGTTAACAGTGAAATCCAGGACTCGTTTTTCGTCTTATTTAAAACTAGTCAGCTGGATGTACTTGCATTCCAGAGCTGATGTTTACCCTGAGACTAAGTGCATAACACGATTTAGAGTCCCGGAGTGAAAATCAACTCTGCAATGCAGGCATGTCCAGCTGAAGAGTTTCAAATAGAACGAAACGCGAATCCTTGATTCCACTGCTAACCATCATCCATCTTTGCTTATAATACTTGTGACTTAAAGCAATATCGAGGCAATACACACAGGATACATATATTATCAATAAGAGACTGATCAATTGAAGACCTAAACATCAATGAGAAGATCCAAATAAACAATACCAAATAAATTTAATTCTAATTATTGTTCTATTTTAAATTTAGAAGTAAATTATCAATCAATATAATTATATAACACTTACCATTCTTAACAAAGAAGATTTTTGATTCCATACAGCAATGAATCCAATAATACAAATTAATAAATTACCTAAACTGAATGTAAATACTGCAATACTTAAATTTTCTAAAGAAAAAAAAACGAGAAGAAAACCATAGTAAATAAACAATGAAAAACAAAATAAAACATATCTCTATGTTGAAAAAACATATTCAATGTGGTATGATTGTTTGATTGTTTCTTGCTATGTAATCTTAGAATATTTATTTTATTTAAATGTAGTTCATAATGATTTGCGTAATGTATATCCTATCCACTTCCATTGTCTTTTCCTAATTTTCTCTTCAGTTAGAAGTTGGTTTGTTCTCTCCCACATTAAGCTGTTACTGATGGTATCCGGTCAATCGATGTTGAGTGTATTGCGTAGACAATTAATTATAAATAATTGTACCTTCTTGATGATGATTGTAGTAGCTCTCCAGGTTTCAGCTCCGTACAGTAGAACTCCCTTGATGTTCGTATTGAAGATTGTAACTTTGATGTTGGTTGAAAGGCAGTTGTTTTAAGTTCCATATGTTCATCAAATGTAGGAATGTGGCCATCGCTATGCCAGTCCTCGCCGGAATTAAATAAGTTAAATACGTGAATGAATTTTTGGATACATATATTTTGTACAATCTTTGATCGGAATAGATGATCAGAGAGACGTAGTGAAAGAAGCGAAGAAGAGAAAGTGAAATGAGATAGTGGACAGTGGAGAAAGCGTGTGAGCTAACTCCACTCAATCAAGTAGTAATCAACATTTATAGTCACACAAAATTGAGCTACAGATATGTGATGTGTAGGAAAAGTTGTACACACACATACGCTTATATAAAAACAGGGTTAATAAGTGAATAGATAACAAGATGAAAACGTGACTCAGGAAAAATGAATAGATTGGCCTGTCAAAAAGCTAGAATAAGTTATATAGGTTTAAGATAACACCCGACACTACAAGTGTATGGTCAAAACCGTATAGTAATACCATAAATGACAAAGGTTCATATTCAACATGGAACATAGATTCCTTTACGATTTGCATGTTTCTCTCGTTGACAGGTGTCAAATAGCACGAAGTCCACTGATTCCCCAGAACCACTATCCACTATAATATTTTGCTTTATGACTAAATTTTTTTGAAGTTGATCCATAAATCGTTAAAATACTCCACAAGTAGTTCATTATCAGGATCTTACATTTTTCTTAAATTTGTTATTTTAGCAGTGATTCATTTAAGTATAGGAAAAAGGATGATTTGAACACTATATTGAGCAGTAGGATATGCATTGTTCACTAGCCATAATTGGTATTTGGTACTTGTTGCATTTGAATGAGTTCAAAAAAGGTTAAATATTCAGAATTATGCTATACGGAATCGTCACTTATATTTTCATTGTACTATGGATAAATACTTGAGTTATGGTATTTTCATAAACCACTGATTGTAGACTCTCATGTGACCTAATATGAGACTCCTCAGCACTGCGCATACACGATCCCGCCCCTGAGAGATTCGAACCCAGGACCTATCAGTCTCGCGCACGAGCGCTTAACCATTAGACCACTGAGCTGGCTTCCAGGTTCAACATAGTGGTCTAGCTTCAATTGACTCATGATTTCAACTATTAAAATTACTAAAATCTCCACAAAATCTCTTCTGATTATAAAACTTTGTCATGTTTCACAGCTTCATAATTATCTTTAATTAATTGTTACCCCATTCTTTTGAATTCGTGTCACATATGGCTTATACATATACAGATTATGATTTTTTATTTGTCTTATTACATGATCAGGTATTTGATGAATATTATCATATAACCTTTTAAGTTGAGATGAAAATCAGACAGTAGGGAAGATATCTGATTGTTTATTTCATCTTCCAATTGAACATTAGGTTTTAAGAACTTTGTATACAATTAGTTATTTATTTTCTTCGAACTTTGTTTACTGCCAATAGGTTTGTGATATAGAGGACGTCACTGGACTATGAGCGGACTCTAAAATAAATAGTTCCCTATTATCTAGCTGCCAGATCGACCAGGCTCAACAATAGTAGGAAGTTGTCTATGCAACAACAGTGCACTAATTAACCATCTTCATTACTCGAATAAAACATGACCATATGATTATAAATATCTATTGTTATTTGCTATACCACACGTAACCAATATGAATGGTTATTCTTCTGATCTCCAGTCTTAATAATGATCAACGGTAAAACTATCATTTATGGACGACCTTTGAGCGACACCGAAGTGACCTTGAGAATGTCACCTGCTTACAAGGGCTAAATGAGAGCTAAAAACCTGCATGAATAATACGGATTATGGTTTATAGTTGATGGTTAGGGTTAGTGTTATGTCCCGATAAGCATAATGAATGATAACTTCTGCGATCCATTTATGGACTAATACTATGCGTACATTTTTATCGTATAAGTGAAAATAACTAAACTATACATATTCATGTCCTTCTTATTATGAGCTTTATTCTGACCTATGAACTATTACTATACGATTTGCCATTCTTGAATTATGCGCTGTCTATTAATTACTACCTCTCACATTCACAACCACTTTTGGCTAAATCTTGTACAAATGTTGTTTCCTATTTTTATGGCATGGTGTGGTCTATTTGGTTGGTATATAAACCCAGTATATTTGAAATAAATGGTTCATATCGCAGAGGCTGTGACTAGTGTTCTGAACTTAACTGGCTGGGCTAGGCAAGAGGCAGGACCGATAAGTACTCTAGACTGCTGTTGCGGGTTTTAAGCGTCATTGGTCCGGTTGATAAGTCACTGTGTTCTAATTAGCGGTATCATTAAGTATACATTACCAGGGCACATAGGCCACAAGTTATAACAGTTAGGAATTAGAATTAGGGTTTTTATCACGAACTAGCATCAGATAAAATACCTAAACGCTATTTAGCCAAATGGATGAATGGATTTCGGGTCAAAATCCAAAATCTGTCATTCTATATCTCATTGATTCGTCCATAAATTATAGTCTCGCCAGTTCAAAATCAATACAATTTGTAAAGCAATTCTATTCATTACAAATCAACTTACGTGTAATTGTCATAATCAACTTTCCAACACCCTTACCATAATTTGGACTTGATGGAACAACATGTTTTTCAAATAATCTTACTGTTTCACGTAATATCATAAAATTGGCTTCTTCTGACAACATAAACAATCCAGATCCAGATATTAATAATATGCAAATAATCTTATTGTGAAAAAAATATAAAAAATAAACTGATTAGTTATGTATTTAAATAATTTGCCTGAAATATAAGTTTTATGATCAAATTAAATTATTCATAACTGGTCCTTTGATACAATATCACTTGTCTATGGTGAACTCATTCTTTCAGTACAAAGTTATCGAATAGTTACACTGCTATGAAGTTTGAATCTGTTTATCAAAAGATTTTAACTATCTTTTCCTAGATAATGTATTCTGAAGATTCACATAGTTCATGGTGACGTTATAATTCAGAGAGCACTGAATGGCTACTTCATATTTGTATCAAACTATATTATTAAGTGGTTAGATTATAATTAATAAACGACTTTTGAGCGACGTTAAAGTGACCTTGTGAGTGTCTACCTAATAACTCAGACCAAATGAAGGTTATAAACCCGTGTAAGGTATTAAAATTATGATTCACAGTTGATAATTAAAGTTAGGAATTAGATTTAGAATTTTCATCACGAACTAACATCATCTATAATACCAAAACTTTATTTAGTCAAATGGATGAGTGAATTTCGCGCCGAAATCCGAGCCCTGTTATCTTATACCTGATTGGTTCGTCCATAAATTATAGTCTCGCCTTGTAAGTTATGTTATTCATGAATATTTATGAAGGTAAAATTTCTTATAATTTTATATGTTCATTTCAATTTAATGAGGTATTTTAGGAAGCAAAATGAACATCACAAGTCAATAGAATACCGTGTTGTTTCACATTGTAGAGTAGTTTGATTTTCGTCAACAAATGAGTTAACTGAATTTCAGGATAATTAGTTCCACGTATATATATCAACAAACTGAATCACGAGGTAAGCCTTAACGCGGAATCTTGAAGGCAATAGTAAAAGAGGAGGAACAAGGAATATATCGCGTTGGGAATTAGAAGTAGACATCAAAACAATCAATGGTAACAGGAAAGGATTGCCCACAACATAGTTTGATGAACAATCCTGATGGGCAGCCGATTTTCCTCCACGAGGGGTAACAGGTGTAAGTGTGTAAGTAAGTTTCACAGAATATGCATTGAAAAACCTATAAATTTCGTCGTGTACAATGAAAGTAACCTATTGCTTCATTAAAAAAGATGAAGAGGTTGCAATGAGGAAAGTTTTCTGTTCGATTCTGTCATTTTCTTAAGCTGTACAGATAATTTTTATAATTAGTGGTCTATGTTAAGATAGCGAAGTACTACAGTTTTTCAAAAGATAGCCAAGTTTGTTCAGTAATCGAATTTACAATACCGGTTTCGAGTCATGAGGTGAATATCAACTCTGAGATGCAGGTACATTAAGCTGACAAGTAAAAAAATGAAGAAACTCATGTTCTAATCTCTACTGCTAGACACCATCCATCTCTACTTAAAATGTTTTCTATTTGATAGGAAAATCAAGGCAATTTGCACAGCATTTACAAAGACTAAATGAGACAGATCACTCGCAGCTTCAAATATCAATGAGAAGATTCAAATAACCAATGACTATGAATTAACATGTAATATGTACTTGAATACATATTTGATGTTTGACTAAGTCTGACTATCTTTGATAATGTCGTTAAATTCCCTATATTTTATTACGGACTACTATATCTACGACTTGATAAATTAACATCAACGACAAGGAATTTTCTTTCGCATACGATTTTTTTTCCAATGATTTGAAGGGTTTCAAATTTTTGTGTCAACAATTTACATAAGTGATGTATCAAATGAACTTATTTTAGTTACGGGAACAATTTATAAAGAAAAGAAGGATATCTTTGAATGAAATAAAACTTGTATCAATGAGAGGTGGTAGAAATGATAAATAACTTCAAGAGTTTATTTATAACAAAACCGATTGGTTTCATTTGGAAACGAAAGCTTAAATGAACTATCAACACAAAACATGATTTAACAATGTTATCTATAGTTAACCCACTAATATCCATCTTAATACAATCTGTATATCTTTTCTTACTACATCTAACAGTTCATTTTTTCACAAGAATGAAGACAATGGCTTATCGAGTAATGTAATTTTACTTGGTGTAAACAATATAAACGTTCAAACAAACAACCCACATCATTTATCTATCAAGATATATCACTGAAATAACTTGAAAACTGTAGTTACATCAATGTATATACATTTCAGAGACACTATTAGATAAATGCGCATAGAAACAAACCTTTATCTAGAAAATGTTCATCTCCATACTCACTCAAATTTCTAAACGTATTATAAAAGTCATATGATTTTATTATTTACTATGTAGGCTATTTTCAACATCTTATCGATCAGTTCACTTAATCTTCAATTCACTTCATTCAACATTGAGATTATGAGTCAATTGATGATAAATAACCATTGAAAACCTGAAAGTATTATATGACTGCTTCGTCCTGGTATTAAACTACTCAATAGTGCTCATCCACGATCCCGCATATGGGATTCGAGCTCAAGACCTTCATTGTCGTGTGCGAACGCTTAACTTCTAGACCACTGAGCCGGCATTCAGTGATGTTATTGTCTAATTTCAACCAATTCATGAAATTGAGTGACCATCTTCCATTGTCTGAGGTAGATACCTATCTCTACCTGACACGGATTAGCTACGCTGGTCACGGTTTTTCACTATAATTCCGAGAATTTTCCCACGAAGCTAGTCACTAATGAGCACATGGTAATTATCAGTATATGGTAGTGGAGATTGTCACGTTTTTGATTGAAATCATGAATTACTTGACTGTTTTACTATGTAGTCTTATGGCATGAAATGAATTAAACAAATACATTGCGTGTTTGTATATAAATTTAAATGTACGTATTTTTTTTACAAAAAAGGATTGGTTGAAGTTAGACATCAACACCGTTGGATCCCGACTCAGTGATCTAGAGTTTAAGAGTTTGCTCGTGAGACCGATAGGTACTGAGTTCAAACCCATCGAGGCGGGATCGTGGATGAACACTGCCAAGAAGTCTCACGATAGGACGAAACGTTCGTTCAGTGCTTTCAGGTTTTCTAAAATGGTCTAGCTTCAATTAACTCATGATCTCAACTATTAAAAATGGAATTGTTAATTCAATTGTAAAGTTGTGTTTTGATGGTTTTTGTTGTTCAATCATCGATGAGCAAGGAGGATCAGATGCAGACGTCAAGGCGAGGATTGACAAAGTAACGGTCGCATTTCTACAATCAAAGTACATACGGAACTGAAAACAACTTTCAACCAATATCAAAGTTACAATCTTCAATACGAACATCAAGGTAGTTCTACTGTACGGAGCTGAAACCTGGAGAGCTACTACAATCATCATCAAGAAGGTACAATTATTTATAATTAATTGTCTACGCAATACACTCAACATCGATTGACCGGATACCACCAGTAACAGCTTAATGTGGGAGAGAACCAACCAACTTCTAACTGAAGAGGAAATTAGGAAAAGACGATGGAAGTGGATAGAACATATATTACGCAAATCATCAAACTGTGTCACGAGACAAGACCCAACTTGGAATCGTGAAGGGAAGCGGAAAAGTGGAAGGCAAAAGAACACATTACATCGGGAAACAGAATGAGATATGAAAAGGATGAATAACAACTGGAAAGAGCTGGAACGATTGCCTAGTACATGGCTGGATGGAGAATGCTGGTGAGCGACCTATGTTCCTTTGCGAGGAGCAACAGGCGTAAGTAAGTAAGCAATTTTGTTTCAAATGTTTTAAAAAGATCAAAGCAAAAACGTTTTTAAAAAAAGAATAACAACAATTGATACTCACTGATGTAATTAAGTTTATAGTGAATAATACTGTATGACTTTTTGCAACGAACATAATGGTAGGTAATTCTAAAAATAATATATAAAACACATTTATATAAAGTCTCTCAAATGTAATAATGAATTATAAGTATTATATATTATAATATTAGAAAAAATACGAAATTACAGAATCTCTAAATAAAATCCGAGAACCATACAGTAAATACTTCATTTACAAAATGTCAATCAATCATCTCAGACTTCATTGTTTCTTTGTTTCTACACTAAGCATTCCCTGTTCTCGCCCTCTTCTGTTCGATCTTCTCAACCTTCTGCTGCCAGACATTTTATTTTTGATTGATGATACGTATTACTTAGCACACACTACATCACCATGTATATCCAGTCCTTGAAGTAAGATCTTTTTGTATATATTTTGTATGTGTGTATATTCTTAAGAGTGGTAAAATCCCCCTTATATAGATGTTATATGATATTAACATTGTGTTTATCATTTGATACGACGGTATCCTTCTCACTCATGATCTTAACCATTGAAATTACTATAATATCCACAAAAAATCCATATGATATTAATCAACATATGCTCACTAGTGACTGGCTTCAAGAAGTATATCCTGGATTTCTAGTGAGAAGTAGTGACCAATGGAGTTCAACTAGGTCTGTTGTGAGATAGTAACTCACTGAAGACAATGGTGGATGTGTCGCTCAATTTGGTGGATTAGTTGAAGTTAGACATTAACACCGTTAAATGCCGGCTCAGTGGTCTAGTGGTTAGGTGCTCGCGCGCGAAACCAGTAGGTCCTGGGTTCGAATCTCGCAGGGGGCGAGGTCGTGGCTGCGCACTGCTGTAGAGTCCCACAATAGAACAAAAAGGCGGTCCAGTGCTTCCAGGTTTTCTATAGTGATCTAGCTTCAACTGACTCATGATCTTAACCATTGAAATTACTATAATATCCACAAAAACCCATATGATATTGAACAGAAATAATCGAAAACTAATTCAAAAATACTAGCCGCCTGATAACATAATCTTAGTGAATATCAAGTAATGTACTTAGAAACAGATTTGTATTAGATTCAGAATTGCTTACTGATCATCCTAGTTGACTTTCATTCATTATGAAACTCATTTTACCATATCCTGTGTATTAGTGACCTCACACTACGTTACAGATTAAAACGTTCCATGATGTAAAGACGGAAATTATGGTTCGTAGTGGATTTCTCAATCTACATTTCCAACTTCATGCAGACTAGTATACTCCCATCACTACTAATGGTGACAATCATCCCACTTCTAAAGTGAAATGAACTCTATTGATTACAGTCACTGGGTTTACTGAGAAATCATAAATAATGTTGAGACATTTATCCAATGCTTCGATGTTTACACTGTTTCTTTAGATTATTTCAGCTCATAATGATGATTTAAGTAAATAATTTATGTATTGACATATAAATCTTGTATTTACGGTACCACTTATAACTAAAATGTTTGTCTAAAGAATCAAGTAATAAGTCAATTTACCACCATGCTAAAAACCTACAAATTTTTTTCTTCACGAATAGTTGTTACGTAATTGCCCTGGTGAAATAAAGATGCACCAGACCAATACTAAAAGATCTACTTACAAAATATGTACTGGGTAACAATGTCAAGATGTACTGATACATTCAATTTCAGTACAGAACGAGTAAAAGTATAACGTGAGTGCGCAATAAACAGTGTCTAAAAAGAAAACGTTCCGTTTTCGTTCACCATTCAAATATCACGTATAATAAGCAGTACAAATATCTTTGTTTAGTATCTAATAGGTTTAAAATAACAAATAATCTATTTCTTTAATAGTGTTAAATGAATCAGATATTTCGATATTTCTCTATAAATTATATATGACAAATGAAACTAGACAATCCTAGTTCTGAAACTTTTATCCTGAGGTAAGATACAATTTATTTACATTGCATTTCATGAATAAACTAATCAACTAATACCTCTTAAAGTTTTGTACAAAATTAAAACGTCTATATGGGTAAAGAGTATTTATTTTGTTATAGTTGTAGTCATTTGAGGATGAAAACTTAGACTTTTATTTTTTGATTTTAATTTCAATCAAAAATGATATAGGTACACTTAAACACGTACTTCGGTTTGAAGTGATTCATTTGTTATTATTTTTTCCAATTTAGAGTTAGAGTAACCTATTGAAACCTTTAATAGATCTATTAAGTAAAAGCTGTATGGATTTTGTAAAATTATTGTTTTCTTATCCATAAACTATTCACAAAAACATTTTTTCTCATATCAATAGTTAAAATCATGAGTCAGTTGAAGCTAGACAACCATGGAAAATCTGGATGCACTGGACAGCCATTTCGTCTTAGTATGGGACTTCTCAGCAGTGCTCATCCACAATCCCGACCCCCGCTAGATTCAAACACAGGACCTATCAGATCTGATTAACTGAAAACTGGCTGTAAATTTATCCCAGTTGTTTTAAGCTTCTTCATTATTTATAGTTTTGACACCAAACAAGAAACAACAACAGAAAACTGATGATCATTTATATAATCAACTTTATAAGTTAGTGATTAGATATAACACAACAAACTGAAATATCAAATTATAAATTCATTTTGAATAATTGTTTTTCTGGTTAGCGTTTTTTTAGCAAGTTAAAATGATGAACTTACTTACTTACACCTGTTACCCCAATGGAGAATAGGCAGCCGACCAGCATTCTCTAACCATTCTGTCCTGGGTCTTCCTTCCTAGTTCTATCCAACTGTTGTTCATTGTTCTCCGAGAAATGGAGACAGACATGAGAATAATGAACAAGAATTGGATAGAACTAGAAAAGGAAGACCCAGGACAGAATGGGTTGGAGAATGCTGGTCTGCGGCTTATTCTCTATTAAGAGTAACAAGCGTAAATAAGTAAGTAAGTAAGTTCATCATTCTAAGTAATATTTCTATATTCATGATGATGTAATATGGATATCAGGTTCAAATGTTTAAAATATTATGCAACGAACTTACCAACAACAACAACGAGAACAACAGCGTTGATTTTCAAGAATTATCTTCTTTTAATAAGTCCTTAAAGTTAATAACCTGTCTGCTATAATAGAACTTTTCTAATGTTAAAATGATCTTACTTTAACCGGATTTTTTTTGTTGCATACATACATGTACTTAACTTAGTTACATCTGATTTGGAATACCAAGCAAACATTTTGTGTAAATAAAGGATTATATTACAAGACAACAGGATTATTGATTGTGAAGTTGACGATAATAATTAAAGTGTTGAATCTACTAATTTTAATAGATTTCTTGCTTTGTTATCTTGTGAGTTACATTAATGTGAAGCTCTAACCATCAAAGTGTTGCATTAGGCTGTAGCGTCTGTTATTATGTTAAGCCCAAATACCTTATTCTAACTTTCGGACATCTCAATCTATTCATTCTAGTTGAGTCACGTTCTAACCTTGTTGATTATTTGCTTATCAATCTTGACTGTTTTTAATGAGCGCGTAGGTGTGTGTACACTTCTTATCCCATTACTCATCACATGTCTGTAACTTATTTTTGTGTGCTTATAAATATTGATTAACACTTGGTTAGAAGGGAGTTGGCTCGCCCACCAACTCCACTGCGCGTCGTTTCTCTTCCCTCTGTTCCGTTCGCTTCGTATACAGAATATATGTATTCAAAAGTCTATTCTCGTTATTTGACTTATTTAATTCCGTTATAGACTAACGCGATTTAAGTCAATGATTATATACGAGGATAGGCGATAACAATCATTCATACGATCAAATCGGAGTCAGATCACGGGCCACTAAAGTGGATAGCCCTTCGACAACATCGTCCGATCTAAATGAAGACAAAATAACGGGCTCCACTAAAGGCATCTGTTTGACAATGTTATTGATAGAAATGTCTCGAATAATAATGTGAAAAAAAACAAAAAATAACTAGGAAGCTTTAAATGGCTAAACCGAATCAAATATATGAAGAAAGCTATCCATTAGTACACTTATGTGACCCTTAGATTAATAAGCTAGAGTTTCAACCACTATAGTGTATTTGTCCCCCCCCCAAAGTGAATTTAAATTTTGGCCATTATTGTGCATCTATCAGCATCTCACTCATCATGCGAACTTAAAGTATATAGAAGCCCTAGCCTATCAGAGAGCTGGACAGTTTTATCAATAATACTGAATGATGGCTGTGTTTTCACACAAACCAATTAAAACTGTACGAATAGACTTGTAGTGACCTACTTTTATCAATTGCTATTATAACCTATTGTACCAGTGATTGTTTTACTGTACTTGTTTGTTTAAATGTACCAAAGACACTATTTCTTCCGTTGACTGTGACCTTGTACGAATTCGGTTACGCTCAGTAGCCCCACTTGTAATCTGGCACGATCTCGGAATTATTTCGATACCACGAGGTTGCCAACAAATACACCTCGACTACAGCCATCAACTGCCTTCTGTTATTTGGACTATGGGGGATCTAACCTGTTAACTGGCACGTAGTCTTCTTGTAGTGGTGATCATAGTCAAACGTGACTCGACGCCACACTATAAGACTAAGTAAAATCCCAATATTTAGTATAAAAAATCTAAGACGGTTACGTTAACTAATTTCAAAGTACATAGATGGTATTATTGTGGTGGTAAACAAATCTACAAAATAAATAGCTCTGTAAGTCCTCGACTTTGATGTTGACCCGATTAGTTTTACAAAATACACGTTAGCAGAAGACACCCAGTCAATCATCCGCACCAGATCACAGTTGGATACATCATGTGAAACAGCTCGCAATAACGAATTGCCTTAGATTGACATCTCGACATATCAAATATCTTTCTGATGTATCTTCGACCACATTCATTGCCGATTTCATTGGCTTTCGGCTCCTTCATTCTAAAGGTGATAGGAAAACAGCACCGTCAAGTATTGAATATTCATGACCTCTTTCTGTTTTCTACGAGATACTAAAATCCTAGCCACCTCCTAGGTTCTACGAAT